AAAAATTCACCAGTATAAAGGTACTCTCATACTAAGGAAAAGACTATTACTGCATCTTTTGCCTATGTGGCGTATTCATGTAAATCATAACTTCACGAGGTTATTAGACACTCACATCCACAGGAATGGTCTCCCCAGGCAATACCAGCACAGAATCACCAGCTCGAATATCATCTGTTGGAACCTCAACGCATAATGCGTCAGAGCAAAGTACACTATCAGTAGAGAGATCACTTTCTGAGGAAGTAATGACCAGTCGAGACTGAGTGGATATCAATGACTGCAAATTACCAGCATCGGTCAGTCTTAGAGTATTAGGATTTAGGGGTATTCAAGATGAGCAAAAATCTCCCAAAAAGCTTCAAAGTGCTTAAACCATGTATAAAACTTACTTGAAGTAATGATAAGTCTTTAAACAACTAATCTGTGAAACAATACCCAGGATTTAAAAAGATCATAGTGATGTACAGTCGAGGTTAAAAGAGAACACTGGAAAACAGTTGACATTAATCAGGATAGGATAATTAGTACAGCCCAAGTACTTCTGAAAGCAATTCAAATATGTGTGCCCTTATATAGGCACTAGGCGTAAACCTAGGATAGATGAGACATGATGCAGATATGCTTACGAAATAAGCCCAATCAGAAGGTGCTTCTGAAATGCCTCTTGCGCATAAATGCGAAACTGGACAAAGTGCATCAGAAAACTCCATATCATGAGCCTCCAACTGCCCAACCAGATTTCTTGTTTCACAAAGGCATAAAAACTAGTGGAAAGATCAACAAGGAGGAGCAAGTGGAATATTTAGCCTGAGGATACCGCATTAATAGATTATGTTTTATATAAGGAAATTTCTGCCATTCAGTTAAGGTGAAATCAACGAATACAATAACAAGCCGAAAAGTTTAATTTGGCAGATCTACAACATTATATTGACAGATCAAAATAAAAATGATGTTAAAATAGTTTCTGGGCATAATCAAATTTGTGATGTTCACTTTGAAGATTCCTTGCACGTCCTAGACTAAAGTGTAGTTTAACATCAACAGATCTCAAGGCGCATCCTGTTCAAATGTTTTATGTAAAAAAGATATAGAGAAGATTTTGACTTACTAGAAGTTCATTCATATCACTAGATGCACTGACTCTTGCCTTCTCTTCTAGGGAACGTCCCAGGAGCACAAAGCCAAGAAGCATGACCTGCATGCTAAAAATAAATTGCCTTGTGTGAGACATTTATCTATTATCTTTCGTGTAGAAGAATGTCATTTGCGTGAGCATGAAACAGTATATCTTAGTGCAGCTTGAAAAGGCTTGCTGCGAAGATCCTCATCGAGATTTTGAGATTTATTTTAATCAGTATTATGGCTTTTAGAAATGACATTACCAAACCATTCAAACAAAACAATAATAACCGAGTGGCCATAGCATGCATCCAGTATGAGTCGCTTCTCACAGGCCGCTTGACATCAGGTATAAACATGGAAAGGAAGCAGCGGAAACTCATAAAAGATAGCAAATCACCGGCTCATCGAAGAAAGATGCATCCCAGTCAAGCCCAGGGTTCAGAAGGGAGACCTACGAGAAAGTAACTCGACAATTTAATTTTCAAGAGAGCGACAAAACCAGAAAAAAAAACTGGGGAAACACCAAAAACCTATCCGCGAAGAGCCTCACCGAACTGATTAAAAAGGCTGCAATTGATCCAAATCCGACGAGTGAGTTCATATTCGGAGATCCCCTCTCGAAAGCCTTTAGACCATCAAAGAGCAAGTCTGCACAAGATCTTAGTCTTAAAATCTAGAGCCGCATGATTCACTCTGCAAACCATCTATTTTTGGACGATGACCCACTCACCCATCAGCCTTTCCAAAGGCATCGGATGTCCAAATATACCATATTACGCGCAGGAATTTAACGATTATGGGAGTAAAAGAGAAGGGAATGGTCAACTAACCTCTTCCTGGTCCAAGAAGAGCCCCCAAAGCCAACCCCCCTTTAACATACGAATTGTGAAGAAACTCCCAAAATGATCCTAAGTCGGCCACCACGAACAGAACAGTCAATTCAAAGTGCAGATTTCACTTGACATCATCAGCGAGCTGAGATCGATTCGTTACTAAGATGCGAAGAGCTCGATGTACTCACCATGAGCAATATGAATCCCGAGAGAATGCAGTATGTGCGAGGCATGCGATCCGCAGCACAGCGCCACCAATGTCCAAGCAAAAGCCACGCGATTCCTGCTCTTAGCGAGCAACTCCTCCTTCTTCTTCGCCATGTCCTCCCACTTCTTCACGTTCTCCGCCACCCCGATCCTCGACGACCTCCTCTTCGCCGGGAACCCGCACTCCGTCAGCCTCGCGGCGAGGCTCTCCGCAACCCCGGCCGCGGAATCATCGCCGCCGCCGCCGCCCCCACCAAGCGCCCGCGGGCTCAGCTTGACCGCCGCGGTCTGGGTCAACATGTTGACCACGGCGGACTCCACCCGCGCGTCGGCGGAGAGGACCGACTTGACCCGGGAGACGCAGCCGCCGCACAGCATGCCGGAGACGTCGAGGAGGACCGACGTGCCGCCCCGCCGCCCGGGCTCGTCCCCATTCTCCGGAGGAGCCGGAGACGGGGTCGGGCGGCTCGCCTCGAGGGTGTTGGAGAGGGCGAGGCGAGGCGCTCGGGAGGCGAGACGCAGCGGGAGCAGGTGGTGGCGGCCGCCGCCGCCGCGCAGCCGCCGCGGGGGGAGGGGGAGGAGGCGGTGGCTGCGGAGGAGGAGGAGGCTCCGGTCGTCGCCATTGGCGAAGCGGAGCGCGCGATGAGACGAGAGCTTGAGCAAGTCCGTAGTCATCGGGAGAGAGAGAGAGAGTTGCAGATGGTCCGGACAAGGAGGAGGAGGGGAAGGAGGTGGGCGGAGATGAGACGGCGGTTGATTTTTTTTGGGTAGGTGGTGGTGGTGGTGGTGGTGGTCAAAAGAGGGGACACGTGGCGGTGGGGAAGCCTTTATCCCGAAAGGAAGGATGTGGGGTCAACGCTTTTGTGGTCAAGACGGTGGCGGAGGAGATCCTACTGTCCCACGCAGGTGCCAGGCTGGCACGTCGAGGTTGCCGTTCCGGACACGAATTTCGCACGTTATCAGCATATGTGACACGCAACACAGACCCGAGCCTCGTGTTGTTGGCTCTTGGCCGGACGGGCGATAGGGAGAGACAAAGAGAGCGAGAAACGGCTGCGAGGGGAGCAATCGAGCAACCAACGAGGGAGTTGTGAGATGAAGAGAGAGAGAGACAGGGGGAGAGAATATTTGGTTTTAAACCACCACGTACGTTATCGTTATCAGCATACGTAACATATATAATCCTACTCAGATTCATTAAAGAAGTGACGTGTCCAAGTGAGGCGGAAATTAAAAGATGAAAAATTAAAAACCTTGTAGGCTAGTGGGAATAGTTGCGCAAATTCTCTCCCTACTCGTTAATTACCCTCTCTCTCTTCTTTCCGTGTCTTCTCCCCCCTCTCTTTCTTCCTTCATTTCAAATTTCACTCCAAACAGCTCACGCCTCTCTCACTCTCTCTCTCTCTCTCTCTCTCCTCTTTGTCTCGCAAAATCCGATGGCCACCTCCGGACGATCACCATCGTATGCTCTCTTTTTAGTTGCTGGAAAACGATGAAGGCTTGATGGAGTTCGGGTCGGAGAGCTCGATAGCTAGAGCTTCCCTTTGAATAAGAGATTGTCAGAGAGAGAGATACAAACAACGGAATGTTCGCGTCTGTGAGATGCAGAAGAAAGGGCGAAGTCGAACTCCCTGTCGTTGTCACCATCCCACCTCTGCATTCACTGGCACTATCGTCTTCTTTGTTGCCCGCTCGTCTTGCTTTTGTCTCTCCTCTTCCTTCTCCTCGTCCTCCGGCACATTGCCTACGTCCATCGAGATGATTAGTTGCCCATCGGTAAGCTTACATTGCCGCTGCTCTTAACTAGCACATCCTTGCTGCTGCCATTGCTTTTGATTAGTGCTTGAAATTTGTTGCCCTTAATTTTGGGATGATTAGTTGCCCTTGATTTTGTGCATCCTTAAGAGAGAGAGAAAATTGCTTGAGAAAAAAAGCGAACATTTGAGTTTCGTTTCCTTTTTCCTCACTATCGTCGAACATCGCCCGCCTTCGCTTGTTGCCATAAGCCATCTAGTCTCGAGAGGGTATAGAATCATCCCTATTCTTCTCCGTGTTGTGTCCGGAAACCTTGAAGAGGCAATACCGTGCTTGATTGCTGCTCATAGTTTGGATTAAAAAATTGCATCGATTTCGAAACTGAGACTTGTGTTGAAAGTGCACAGACCTGTTCGACAGATTGTTCGTAAGATTTATTTGCGAAATAATACTTTTTACAGTCCAATCCGAAGATTCATTTATGTAGTTTGCATATTATAGATCGATTAGTGGTCATTAAGTGTAATTTTCATGAAATTGTTTTTAGTCATCGAGAGTCTCTTCTGCCTCGTATGTCACGTGGACATGTGTCACTTTTTTAATGGATCTGAATAGGATTACGTATGCCACGTATACTGATGATGCGGTGGTTTGAAACCACCGAATATTTTCTCGAGTGAGGACGGGGCAGCAACAGGACCAAGAGGTCTAAAAGATAGAAATCAGAGTCAGTCTCGGTTCGATTAGGTCCGGTTTAGGGTCTTGAACACGGAACCGGTCTCGAACTGGCCCGTTCGGTTCGGTTCGGTTCAGTTTCCGGGTCGAACCGGACCAAATGCTCAGTCGAACTCCTAACTTACGTGGGCCGTCGGGTCGGATCCGATGGGCTGTCGTCGCTGTGCTGGGCACACCCATGGACCCAAAAGTCGTGGACTCTCTCTCCTTGGGCAAAGCCCAATCCAATACATCATCAACGAACAGTTGCGTGCCACGTGGGCAGTCGATCCGACCACCCCCAAACGACTGCTTTCTCTCTCCTAATTATCCGGTTCATCATCTTCTTCTTCATCAGCTTCACTTCCCCGCCTCCCCTCTCTCTCTCTTTCTCTCTCATCAGCCCGAGCTCTGCGAGCTCCGCCGCGGAGCAAATGGCTTCGCCAGCGGAGCCCCCGCCGCCGCCGCCGTCCTCCTCCGACGAGGCCTGGCGACATCACGCGCCCAGGCGCGCGTTCGTCCCGGCGTCGAACGTCCAAACCCCGCTCGCGCTTCCCCTATCGTTCAGGCCCGCGATGAAGCACCACCGCCACGACGACCATCCCCTCAACCTCGACGCCCTCCGCAGGTCGCTCGCCTCCGCGGCCGACGGGTGCCTCGGATTCCTCCACTCCGTCGCCTCGCGGAGCCCGCTCGTCGGGAAAGTCCTCTCCTTGCACTCCGACTTCCGCAGCATCTGCCGACAGGTAATCCGACTCGGTCGCTCTATGTTGCGCTTGATTCTTGAAGCATTATGAGTTTTTGTTATTCACCACTTGGGTATTCTATGCGAGTTTGTCTGGTAATACCCATTAAGATATTTTATCATTGGTAGCTCGAGCTCGGTCATGTTGGTGCTGATTTCTTGAACTGGTTCTGAATTTATAGTTTCTCTTGTTCTTACGGTGCGCATGACTGTGATTTTGAACTTCAATTCAGATTCACTGCAGGAGCTCTAGGAATGTGATCTCGCTGTCGGGTCACAACTTCGCCGCGGTGTTGCCCGGCGGTGACTCGTTGGCGGGGCTTGTGGTGGCCAATGGCATATCGAATTTCCTGAATATCTACAACACCCTGTTGGTTGCCAGGCTCGTCTTGACTTGGTTCCCGAATGCTCCTCCAGCCATTGTCAGCCCTCTCAGGTTCGTCTCTCGCATCACGGGATCAAATTTTATCATAGAACATCATAATCATCCTGGCAACATGTTTTTTTTTCCTCTTTTGACGTGTGTTTGATTACATGAGGTTTAATTACGAAGATCCACTTTGCGTTATTTATCTAAGTCATTTATTTGTAATCTTTGATGCTTTGTCTCAGCACCCTGTGCGACCCGTACTTGAACATATTCCGCGGAATCATACCGCCGCTCGGAGGGACTTTGGACTTCTCTCCGATCCTGGCATTTCTCGCCCTAAATGCCTTCACCAGTGCCGCAGCTGCTCTTCCTGCGGAGCTTCCTCCAACATTAGCGTCTCAAGAAAATGCTGCTTCTTGCATCAGCTCCGCAACGACTTCCCAGAAGAAATGGGTGAGACGGCTGAGCGGCCACAAGCAAAAGAGCACAACGGGTCCTTTTTAGGCCATTTTTCATCGGTCACTGTTTATGTTCTTTGATATTCCTTTTGTATCCACAGACACGGAAAGCTAAGTATGCTATGATCATGTTATTCTCTAGATAATAATGCTCATTTTGCTTAGTATTTCACTATTCAAGCACAAGATTCAACTGTTTGCCTGCCCTTAAGTTGAACATATCACGACTGCCTAGACAGCTCTTTTCCCCCTATTTTCCTTATCAATTGAAGCGCCGAATTTGCTTGTGACTGTATTCGACGCGGCACAGCCTCTAATAATATGTAGGGGTCTTACCGAATGCGCCCGGTTCATGTTGAATAGTTCGTTTGTGCTTTTGATTCACAAGCTATGACCAAAATAAATCGGTCTAAGGGGCTTGTTAGATTTTCGTTTTATGAAGTATTGCGTATGGTTTCTGACTTTCCGATCGCAGAGTTCTACAGAGAATTTCAGTAAGAATCGGATTCTGCAGAATCCGTCCTGTTTCCACTATGGACGGTCCTCAAAATCTTAAGCAACATGGAAATTTAAGCTTCCTGTTGAAGCTGCCAACTGCAAGTTATCTGAAATAATCCAGAGTTCTTCTTGGTCTTCAACGATTCGTTGGCAAAGACGAACTGTTAAAGGTAAAGAAGATTCTTTTTCCTGAAGGCTCAAACGGATGGTGCTGGATTGTAAAGTTTCTCAATTATTGTCCTGAGCCACTAGTTGCTTGAATAACGGAAGATTTTCCCACCATTTTATGTCTGTGAGCTGAAGAATCTGCAGATTGACAGATCGCAGGGAGTCACTTCTCCTGGAAAAGGCTATGCATACAGTCAGCAGATCAAACTAGATAGTTACACGAATTCTTAAATTCCAACTGTTACCAATGATCGAAGCGCAACCATTTTGGACGCAACAACAGCACTAGAACAAACCGCGCAATGTTGCTTTTCCAACAGGGCATCTATGTAAAAGAAGAAAAGATTCCAGTTAGCTCATAACCTCATTAGTTTGTGCAGACCAGCTTTGTTCCCATATCCAGCAAAGCAAAGATTCCTGTAAAACCCTTCTCTATTGTATCACCTATATGTTGCATCAAGGAAGAAAGAAACCAAGTTATTTCCTCAGAAACCTCTCTGCTTGTCTCTTCCAATGGAGGAAGGATCGACTGCTTCTGCCCCGAGGAGCAGGTTCTCATCGTATGAGAGGCTGGTGGCCATAGGATTGGCAATTGTGGCCGTGGCCTCGCCGCTATTCATCGACCGGGAGCCGGCGGAAGAGGAAGAAGAAGAAGCTGAATTTATCAACTTCGCTGCTTGGCTACCGCTGCTGCTCCTCATGCTGATCTTTGCGATTGCCTTGTCGCCTTTCCTGGACAAGAACTTTGCGAGGTTCGATCCTTACTGGATTCATAGAGTGGGAGGTTCTTCGGGTGGTATTCTCTTTATTCTCGTCGTTCTTGCTCTTATATTAAAGTTGAAAGCTTGAGAGAGAGGAGGAGGAACTCGAAAGGACGTTTCACTCTCCGTGTAATCTATGTCAAGATTTGAGGGCGTTTTGTGAAATCAATAGTGAAAGAGTATCTCAAAGTTTCATCTTTTTTCTGCTTGCTTAGCTTAAGTCGTCTCCATACGATGCTTTAAAAAAACATCCTTAAGAACGAACTTGCTTTTTTATTCGGAGATTCTTTCAGAAAATCCGTCCAAATAATTCCTTCTTGCGAACAAAAACGGAGCAGCTATTAGCTATCTTTCTAACAATAAGAAACAGAACAGTCGCGAGCAAGCCTGAAGTTCAGGAGAAGGGGGATGTGGCTGTTCTTCCAAATTTAGGTAAACGGAGGAAGTTTCCAATTTCTGGTTTACATTTCTCGTCCAGAATTACATTGAGTAGACTGTTCAATCGGCTGAAGCGTTAAAAGTAAAAGCAATAGTGAAAAAGCACTCCGAATAGTGTATTCCATGTGAGTAGATCGCGTAACGACGAACTCTTCAACGTGAATTAAGTACAAAAATAAAGAGCTTACTTCACGGACTGTATATTGCGGGGGGCAAAATGACCAAGATACAGAAAACAAATTACAGTGGCAAAGGAATTGACTAGACAAATACAGAGAGCCAAAAAATTAAATGGTGAACAGCCTTAGAGACTTGATCATAGGGCAAAGACATACCATAGTGCAACCAAACCCGAGGCAACAAATGGCCATAGGTGATGAACTTGAGAAGGATATGCGCTACTGCAGTCGTCATTGGCGCCGCTAAAGCATCCGGGTTTAGTAATCTTGGCCACACCCCCATCTAAAACAAAGCTACCGTTGGATGTGCCATTGCTGAAGAAGACGCACCAGAAGTAAGGAGATCCACCATCACTGCCACTGACTGCAGCTCCCACTTCAGTATGGTTTTTGTCAGTGAGAATTTCTATGCTCTTTTCTTTCTGCATCAAGATTTCCGAGAATGCTTCGGAAGGAGACACATACTTAGTCTGGCACCCAAGTAAACGACCAGTGATAGGGGAAAGCGTCGAGGTCTGAACACCACAATTGGGGGCAAAAGTCTCGGCGAAGTCAGCATCGGAAGGTTTCATAGCTTTGGCGCCTCCTACGGCACCGCAATCACCTTGGTATGCCTTTATGTACTGCAGAGCAATGCACGCTAGCCCAGGGTTGTCATAGAGGGAAGATCCTTTGCTTGCAGTTCTATTGCTGTTAACTACAGCCACCAACTCATCCGCAGGGTTATTGGTAACTTTTACTGCAATCAAGATCACAAAATTGCTTCTTAGGCATAATCATACAGGTGGAATATACTTGAATGTGGAAGAGGGAGGAAAAAAAAAAGACTATCTGAGAGCACACTGCTGATGCTTTTACTTTGTTTACTTTATCTAAAGTAGATATATAAGATAATTTTGATATGAAATTCAGGTGACATGCCGAGTGACAAGTATATCGAAATGCACGATTTCACTATCAACCGCCTTTAAGATGCAGGAGGGATGATGACATATCAAAACTAAATACGTTAAAATTGATGATCCCAACAAGCAACAGGCAATGAGCTTGACTATGATGTAGGAGTGCATAATATCATGCAAGTAGACCTGCATTAGCCCGTTGACTGCAAAATTCGATTTTATCACTGAAGTCAAAATTCTGAGTATGGAATGTCTGCTTGCATCTAGCTGTATAGTTAGTATTGGTGTGTCAGTGTCCATATGAAAGTTTAGGTATATACTTCGATGAATAGAAAAAGCACTTGCAACAATATGGCATTTCTTACCATAACTTTCTGGCAAGAGTCTTGACACAAAACAAGAACTAATCCGTGAAGCATTCACAGACCACAGTTACCTCAGAATATCACGCACATCATCCAATTAACAGACACCAATCGCCATCAACATTGAATTTCTAATATGATGTACTCAAATGAACTTTTCTCTGTCTGCCGTTATTTATAGGAGTAAATAAAAAAACGGATTTCGTGTATCCTCGCACAGTAAGCGGAAAAGAACTGACCTTGAGCAGTTATGCAGCCACCTATTAAACATTTCTGATCTACCAACCCTCCTCAATCCAGACTTAACCACTACCTTAATGACAAATTAATCCCCTGCTAGAATCTTTGTTTCTTACTAGTTACTACAAGGTTTCACTTACTGCAATAGTATTTATGATGAGACTAACATGAGAGAACAAAATAGGCGACGCATTTCACTAAGCTAAGGAGAGCGGAAACAACAGCACCTAGTGGTGATCAAATTTCCAGCCCTTGGTCCTTGAAATGCTCTATGTACCTTTTTCCTCCCTTCATCCCTTAGCTTTTACTTCAGAAAAACAGAGAAATACTAGAAAAGGCAGCTCGACACCCATTTGGGAGGCCTCTCGTATATCACCACCGTGCCCATATATAGTTAGCTCATGCTCCACTCAGAGAATACCCTCATCACTGTTCCCCACATCCAGACCATTCTTTTAAGTCCCAAAATGGAGGCCATTCTAATCTCCTGTTACTAAATTTAGAATTTCAAACCGGCCCGAAAGTCATTTGCATTGCGTTCAATCGCAAGATCCCTTCTTGTTAGGCTTTATTTCCTAGAAGATCCAACCGACATAAATAAAAAAGAAAGAAAGTCAAAACCTCGGTTTAAATTGGTCGGCAGCTCAATCCCGAAGAACCAGCAAAGACATTTTCCGTATCACGGCAGGATCTCGAACGGGAGCATCAGATCTCAGGCAAGAGATCCAACACCAGCAACGCGCACAAACAACGACACCCACTAAATCAAGAATGCGCTCAAACCAGTGCACATAATATCGCAGAGCTATATTTAGAAAGGAAACGGAGAACCCAGAAACATCTCGAGCAGATCAAACGTAATGAACCACCAAGCTGACCGACGCCGGAGCTCAGAGGCCCCCGCGCCACCACCCCACACCACATTCCAAGAAACGGAGACGGAGATCACGGGAATGCAGGCGAAGAGCGGCGGCGAGCGCGGGGTGGGAAGGACTTACTCTGGACGTCGGCGGCGGCGGAGACCGAAACGAGGAGGAGGAGGGAGAGCGGCAGAAGCCATGCGAGCCTCGACATTGTCGGCGACACGGAGAGAGAGAGAGAGAGAGAGAGAGGTGAAGTGAAACAGAGGATGAGATTTCGGGGGCTTGTCTTCTTCAGCGACGGAGTCGAGCGACACGTCAACTTCGATCCCTCCGGTCTCTCGGGCTTTAACAACTACCGGTACGGGGCTGGCTCGACCGTGACCGGCCACCTTAACGGGTCCTCGGGTTTCCAAGCCCGAGTCATGCCCGGTCGGGCGGGCCGCGCTTGCCGAAATTGCCCTTCTTCGGAACGCTATTTACTACGCGTAATTTTGGCGCCTTACTTCTTACTTGAAAAAAAAAAAAGTGAATAAGTGCGTTAAAAATCCTAAAATTTATCACGAAAGTGTAGTTGACTCATAAAACTTTAAAAAAATGTAATTAAATTCTAAAACTTGTCACGAAAGTGCAATTGATTTCTAAAATTTTCAAAAAGTCTTGATCGTACTTTTTGAAAGTTTTAGGACTCGATCGTACTTTTTGAAAGTTTTAGGACTCGATTGGACTTTCGTGATAAGTTTTAGGACTTGATTGTATTTTTTAAAAGTTTTAAAACTCAATTACACTTTTGTGACAAGTGTTGGGACTTTTAGTATGATTATCCCAAAATTAAACAACTTTTGAATTTGGCCCACCATTACCTGTTTTTCATAGTTAGGTCACAAGGTTTCTACAACACAGTCGTTTATTTAAACATGCACAATGGGGAAATATGTTTGTCAATATATATTATTATGATGCCAGCAATCATAGGATCAAGAAGAGGACCACGTTGCACGAATACAATGAGTTAACTAACTTAGTCACAGGACAACCGTTGGACGGCGAATCTACTAAGACAAGGTGCAGCGGAGGAAGAGGAAATTGCATTTAATTTTAGATTTTCATAAGATCCTTAGTTTTCATTTTCTTATAGCAATGATGCGTAAATCTCGTGCCGGTTTTTTCATGCGTCAAATGGAATCAACTGATCATGACAATTCGACAATCGATGGAGACGGATTTTTTATGTCGAGATTAGAGATGGGCAAAGAATCGTTATCCGTCGGACTCGTACGGTCGTGCCATTTAGATCATGTGTTGTGTGTATTCCCACTCGGTGAATTTCTATTAATTATTTCGACCAAAAAAAAAATTTCTATTAATTATCCCCTCCCCGACAAAAAATGGAGAAGACACGCGCGCGAGGGCAAGAACGTCAATTCGCATGGGAGCTGTCGGGAACAGCTGTCCACGTTGAAACCAACGGCTAACACCCTCCTCGCTCGCACCTCCAGCTCCGACGACTAAAAGGAAGCTCGCCAAGAAAAAAAAAAAGAAAAAAGGAAATCTTAAAATGCATGCGAGCATGCATCGATGGCGACGCCGATCAACATCGACCTCCTCGCTCGCGCATGTTAACGCACTCGCTCTCTCCGCCGGCGCGCGGCGGCGCCGGAGAAGCTCTCCCGCTCGGGGGTGCGCAACGCCGGCCGGAATGGCGGGAAAGCAGGCGGTCGCTCTCCTACTCTTCGCTTCGAAGTTCATCGATCGTATCTGGTTGAGCTCAGCGATCTGGCATTTCGTGGATTTGGCGCCTAACTAACTCGACGGAGGAACTCAGGGACCTTGTTGGCAGCGGTATGGCGTATCGTTTCGGAACAGCTTAAAGTTTTTCAGGTGATCCATGGCCCGATTCGGTTGTCACGGTACTAGAGCTGAATTCAAAAAGCCTCTGGGGGGGGGTGGTACGAATAGTCCTTACGCGGAGTGTTAGTTCAGGATGTGAAATAACGTGGATTGAATTGTCATAGTCATGATAGCCTTTTGAAGTGTTTTTCAGATTCTTTTGTGTTGGTTGCTGCGGATGGCGATTTCCACTAGTTCTTTCTATCCTTTCGGAGGTAACACAGAGGAGATTTACTGAAACAAAAAGGGCAGTGGGGGAAAAGGGGGTGGACCGAAGAGTGGTATGTTTCGGGTGGTGATAATCCTATTAAATGGTAGTGGGGGTTGAGACCTTTCTTCCGGGGCTAAGTTTCCGACGATAGGTTTCTTGCCGGAGTTATCGGTTTCGCCTCTTTGTTATAATGCGACGTAAGTTGGGTCGGGAATCAAGAGCGAACCCTTTGTTTGATGCGATCGCTCATTATGCCGTGAAAGTCATCTTCTGCATTAGAAATCGAAGTAAGATCTATGGATGCAGTTAAAAGTTTCGTTATTGACTGTTAATTCCAGTTTCTTTTTCCTCTCTTGTTGAATGCAGATGCTATTGCTGGCAGCTTTTTGGATAAAATATGTAAAGAAGTCAGTTGGTGGAACTCTCAAGATTTGTTCTTTGGCACCTTGTTATTGGGTGCTAGAGTTTGATACTGATCCTTCTTAACATACAATGATTAGAAAAGGGCTTGACCCGCTAGGGAGAGCTTATGTGCCAGCTGTAATATCAAGTCAGCTGCAGATTAAGAATTAGGCAGATTTCCTTCTCCTTTTGCGTTAACTTTTTCCCCTTTTATCGGTAGGTGAGAGCATTCCTAATTATGTACATCACCGATAGCATCTTTTTTGATGTTATTCAGCTGCCTCACTTTTATTTTCTTCGGCATAAACATTCCATATCTGCCTTTCTCTCCACAAGATAGAACTAGGCTTTTTTAGTCAAATTAGATAGATTGGTCCTCACTTAGCAATGCCAATATTGCATAGAAAGCTCTGGGAGGTGTGAACTGGGAAGCATGGACACTCGCCGGGGGCCTCCGTGTCGTGTCGGACACCGACACTCTTTTTATTGTTATTTATTTATTTATTTATAGATCTGAATCAAATTAATTTGATAAAAATAATCATAAAAATGATAATTTATCTTGTATATATAAAAATATATATTTAATATATAACGTGTCGAAATTCTCTATTTTTTGGGAAATGACGTGTCAACGTGTCGTGTCGTGTTGCGTGTCGATATCGGTGTCGGTGTCGGTGCTACTTAGGGTGTGAAGCCTGCGTTTGCTTCGTGTCGATCACTTTTATGCTCTGGCCCAACAGGATCTCTTCGCGATAACACCAGTGCGGTAGGTTGACGATCTTCTGAGGTCTTGGCTGATCTCATCTGTGCATGCTCTAGTTTCTTGCTTTTTTTCTCACTTTTAACCTCTACTTCGAAGTCCGACCAACGAATCAATCTTTTGACCATTGGCAAGTTTGGCAGAAGGAATTGTTTTTTCATTTATTTAATTTGACTAAGACATATAACCAGCATATTGAACAACTCTTTTGCGAGAGCCGATGAAATGGAGTGTATTGTTGGATAGACCAGGTCTAGCAACTACTGCGTTGTGTTTACTTAATATTTTGTCAATTGGTGTCCATTGTCTAATTTCTTATCCAAAATGTTTCTTCACACTTTCTGACGATCTATCAGTTTGTGTTGTGGTACTATCTCTTTTGACTCTCATTTTGTGTTTAATTTGACAAAACACTTACGCGAGTGTTTATCTCAGACTAATAACTGTTATGTTGGCATTGTTTTTCATGCTCTTTTTCCATTCGCTTCATGGCAGTTTTGCAAGCATTGACTTTCTATATCTTTGGAAATTTTCTTCGGAACTATAGGTGGCACAATATGCTTCAGACAGTGGGAATGGTAAAGCTGCTCTCAACAATGTCGATCAATGTCTCAGTTACTTCATTTGAAACTTTGGCGATATATATTTAATTCGAGTTGAGTTAACGTAATGTCCCTGCTGTTTTTACTGTAATGATGAAGTCAAAGCTGTATACCAGTGAGTTCATACTTGTTTTTATTTTAGGATTTAATGAGCCTTGCTTGTTAATGATTATTTGGGAATGCTTTTGCTTGCTTGTCAGCATCATATCCAGTCTATTCAGAAGATGATGATGACTGAATTTTGTAACAGGTCATTGACAGATTTATTGCTGTAATGATTCTCTTCACATGAATTATAGAATATAGAAATCTAAAAATTCTGGGGATACGAAATTCTTTTGTGGGTTGCGAACAATGCACCAAAGCCAGCATATGCAACCACATTTTTTTTTTGTGAAATAATATTTCTAGAAAAATAGCATCTTCATATCCTCAAAAGATATTCGACTAGCACTCCTTCATTTATCCATTACTCCTTCAAACTTTTCTTGCTTGCAATGTGTTTAAGGCAAAGAAGCTTCATTTGGGAAAAGATTTCTAAATCCTAAGAGTGGAAAGTCAGGGGTTGAAGCCTTTGAGAAGCTTTGTTCTGCCTGAGTTTTCATTTCTAAAGAGGATGCTCCTATATTCCCCTAAAAATTAAATACTCGATTTCAGATAAACATTGGGTGCCTTAGTTGATACTTAAGGCTGCACTATATGGGTTAAATCCAAGTTTGGAGGGAACGAGTGGAATGCAGTTTTACTCTTCTTTTCTTTATTATTGATAGGAATTCCCTTGTTAAGACCCTATGAACTGATTGAAACCTCAGATTCATACTAGAACCGCGATATATTCATCACTTGAACATCTCTCACCTTACCAAAGCACTTGAATATGTCTCACCTTATCAACTTGTCCCTATGTAATTACAAATGTTATATGATCATCCACAAACAGGAGCAAGCGTCATTTTAAGAGAGCTGAAAATTTCTTTATTGTAGAGCCTTGAAAGAACTTGATTCCTTGCTTCTGAATGCATTAACAAATGAATTTGATGCCTCGGTAAACTCCATGAAAGCCACGACAGGTATTGCAGTTGATGCATCAGATAGGTATCACTTCATCTCTTTCCTGTTCAAATGCAGGCACACTCACGCGCACACGCACAGATACATATATGCTTTTGCTCGTTTCTGTTTACACACACACACATGCTTTTGTCTCTGGAAACATGCTATTCTCCTTTGCTAGTGACGGTTTATTTTGAGTGTTCAGCTTAGTATGCATTTAAATGGTTAATCCTAAACTTTTAGTTCTTCCATTTACTGTCTCCTCCACAGTGTTCCCCAAGACGTGTTGGACAAAGGCAAGGCTGCGGCAGATCCATATAGGATTCCAGGAGACGGGAACCCGAAATACTAGACCTGAAAAGAAGCAGTTGGATCAATTTTGTGATTGTTGAATTACTGTGCTTCCTTTCTT